AAAGAACATAAATTGGATCATGATTCTTCAAACACGAATGCCAAAGTGGTTCCACCAAACAGGAATCCCCATCACATATCCACGATTATTATTATTATTATTGCATTCATGTCTTGATCGTGACGATGAGCTCCACTTATCTCAGGCTTGAAATCTCCAGAATTCACCATAATCGAGTCTTTTTCTTTTATTAGTAATTTCTTCCTTGTTCACTACTTGGACTGAGAAATTGATGACTCCACTTCCTCCTTCCTCCCAATTCCTCAGCCTGTAACTCAGCATCTCCGAACGTTTCTCTTTCCTTTGGTATCACATCCCCAATCGCTATTCTTGCCAACCCAATAGATCTATCCTTACCTCTCGGCGTTTGCACTGAACTTCGAACGTAATGGACTGTGCATGCAATGGCACCTCCATTATCAACTTCTCGTTCCATGAAGTGCTTAGGTCCCCTCTTCTTGCTTCGCCGTTTTGGGCTCCAACACTTCAGCGACTCTGCCCGAACCACCACGTACACATTCTCCGTCGCCGGAGTCCGATCGATGCAAAGGTTCTCACCAGATATGACCGTGACCTCTAGGGTACGTCTCTTGATTGCCTCCATGGTTGGTTAAAGAGGGTGCAAGGGGAATTTAAGATACAAGAAAGATTTGGTTGATATGTGAATGCAAGTGAGTGCATACGGGGGTGGATATATATAATGGGATTTGGATGGACGGACGTGAGAGAAGGGGACGAAGAAGATGAAGCAAACGTGTTGGAAATTGAGGAGAAGACTATGCGCAGTTTGGTTTACAAGTCTTTCTGAGAAAATAATTATTTAGCAGAAGGTGACATTCATGACTTGGCTTTTCTTTTTTTAGGGTTCTGTTCCTGTACGGACCTTGGGGTTTCTGAGGGGTTGTTATTAGTTATTACTATACATTTTCTGGGAAATTTAATTTCTTATTTCTTAATCACACACACCACACACACACACACATGCGCGTGTATAGGAAGGAGTCTCGGAGAATTTTCGAACCTGGTCTACACGATTAGCTGTATATCTGATTCCAGTTCACATTTATATTTTTGGGTTTGTTTACATGCTGTATATCTCGGGGGTTAATGAAATGAATTAATTTTTTATCAAGATTGATTATATGCAATTTCTCCGTATTAAATTACTAATACTATCACTCACACTCCTTTTAAAAAATAAATAGTTACTTACCACCCCGGAAAAAATAACCTAATAAGGCACGCGAGTGGTATATATTTACTTAAGTTATTGAAAAAGGTTAGATGCAATATTTTTCTTTTTTCGATGAGCAGATGCAATGTTTTTCGTTTTTTAAAGGGTCTGTTTTAGTTCCCCTGATTTAATAATCATTGACATAATATTATTCATTGCATAATACGTAACTCCAGATTATATCATTTAATTTATCTGCTTGATGCTGGGTAACTTTCCCCGAGATTTACTATTCAAATCAACGTATTATGAAATTTGATATTGAGTTTTGTATACGCTTTTTGGAAAAAAGAGGAAAATATATATATTACTTACGTGGGGGGACAAAGAAATTAAATGTTTTGGAATTTATGCGTGATTTTTGGGCACCATACATGATATATATATATATATTATATATATATATTGCCACAAAATATGGTTTGGTTAACTCAGTGAGCTCATGTTCAAGACATTGTTACGTGTGGGAACCTTATTGTGAATGACTAATTAATGAGGGAACCTACGGCTCTATACATGGAGAATATTCATCAGAAATTGCAAGGAAAAACTCCAGAGTTTGTTGGAATTACTTCTCATTAACGTCCGAGGGAAATTCTTCTCTTGACTCATAATTGGTCTTTATCTCATGAATTTAAATTCAAAAATATATATATATTAAACTTACAATTAATGCTTGATTAACACACCTGTTCGTTTGGATGCTTGATATAGTTTAACGACTTGGGCTTGGATATGAAATTACTTTAATGCCCGGTCAAGTGAATGCATGATATGGCAAAAACTTAATCTGCAAGGGAAGAAAGCTTTTGTTATTGACCCACATCACGTCAACACTAAAACTTGAAGATTTGAACCACATTTTTATATGCAAGTTGAAAAATTCTGATGAGGAATAATCAGAAATATCATTATACTATGTTAATTAATTTAAATGGCTCACACAGATCCGATAAACATATTAGAGATCTCAGTAGTATTTAAAATTTGAAAAAAAAAAAAGGTTTGCCAATAACTTGCTGGTTTAGTGATGCTCGCCTTAGTGTAGTGTGTCGGTTACTGATTCAATCCAGTTAACTTAACCCTTATATATATCAAACGGGGGAATCGATATGCCAACATATAATCAAATTAAATTGGATGATATATATATATATATCCTTAATGGTTTAAGTGACTTGGACGGCCAAATCCTCTAATCACATGGAGATAATATTTAAATTCTTGTCATCATGGGAGAGGAGATGAAAAGAAGCGATCGTGAGACAATGCAAGGCGTTGTTTAAAGTCTACGAAGTTGTTCTACATTTAGGACTAGTTACGCAAACAAAAAAAGAAGCCTGGGGCAACACGGGATCCATCAATTCTATGTGGTTCATATACACGGCAAACTCACGACTTTTAGCAAGAGTCTATGACAACATCGATTTTCAAATCATGTTTATGTCTAAGAGATTATCCTCAAATAGTTAAATACTATTACTTCCGATCCTATTTATAAGATATCGTTGTAGATTATAGGCGAGATCTTATAATTAGAACCAGAAGTAGTAGTATAGTTCCCTCATCTATATAAAAGGACTGCCGTCATAAAAGATTTGCAACAGAAAAGGGATATCCATTACAAATATACCCGTTATAAAAAAATTTTACCTGTGGCCGAACTAATTAGGGGGTGTTTGGATATAACCAAACTATGGTTTGGAGAATAGCTTCTGGAGAATAGATTTTGAGGAGAATATATTTTGAAGAATGATTTGTGAAAAAGTGATTCTGAGAAGTGAGAGTGTTTGGATAGTTGTTACCAGAAGCACTTTTTACATGTACAAATTACTAAAAAAGGCATAAGTTAATATGATAATTACAGAAAAAATATATTTTATGATATATTTAATTTGAAGAATAAAATTGTTAATAATATATTTTTTATTAACATAATTAATAATACATAAGATAATATAATTAATAAATAATTAATATGTATATATTTATAAGATATAAGATTAAATATATTTAAAAAAATATGTTTATAAAAAAAACAACAAGATACATATCTTATAGGCTCTCATACTCTCCCTTTTTTTTCAAAAGCAAAAAATTTTGTTTCCCAAAACCATGGTTTTGGGTTTTTTAGGGGGTGTTGGGAGATTTTTTCCCAAACCATGGTTTGGGTTGGAATCCAAACACCCCCTTAATATCTATTACAATTTACAAAGTAGCTTGCGATAAATTTTCTTTGTTTACTATACCTTGATTGGTGCTGATAATTAATAAAACGGAAATCCAAATTGTTATTAGAATCCGCCCAAGATCTTGAGAAAAAAATGTCACTGGAAACTGGCAATAATCACGCACATATTTGAATAAAAGAGCTTACACGCTTGCACCTGGAAAATTTGTTACTGCGTGCACTTCTAAAGCTAATGACTCGCACGTAGTGGGATATTATGAAGAACTTGCACATAAATAATTCCGATGTGCATGATTATGTGTATCTCTAAATAAAAATTTACAAGGTAAAATAATAACACAAAAAATTACTTAAAAATACCATCCCAGGGCGACCAGAACAAATCTCATCCCGTAAGCCAAACTGATTACCCTTATGCTTGTCATTCTCATCAGCCGCGGCCGGATCGGATATCATATAGATTTCTTTCGGCGGCATCCTAATTACCCTAACGCAGAGAAATAATGATCCCATTCTCTCTTCCCTTCCTATCTCGCAACCTGTAACTGAGGAATTGCAGGTCATGTTCCAGAAACCGATACTCCCACTCTTGCCTCCCCAATGCTCTGTACAGTTCCCATGAACGTCTTGGACTGTACCTCCAACGTAACTGAGTTTGCTGCGTTGAAAGAACTCACAGCCATGTCCATTAGCAACTTCTGGTTCCATGAAGGGCAACTACCTTTGCTCGCCATCCTCGTCGTGCAACGACGGCCGGTGGAGTCAATCCTCACCGCCACGCGCGTCTCCTTTCTCACCGGCTTTCCTTGCTGAGAAAGATTCTCAGCAGATAAAACAGTGATCTCCAGAATTCTCTCCATGCATGATCCTTGGACGCGCAGAAAGCAAACCTTGTATATCTCTAAAATTAAAGATTTTAGACTCTGTTTATCCAATCGTAAGTGTGATGATCTTACATTTTTATTTTCGCTATAATTTTAAAAAATAGATTTTACATTTAGATTCGCAATCATATATTTTTGCTAAAATTAGAAGATTTTATATTTTAGATTCTGTTTTATCCAATCATATGAGTGATGATCTGGAATTTTATTTTTCGATGAGCAAAAAATGTTTTAATTAAACATGGATTGGGAATAATTAAAATAAAAATCAACCATCAGGGCCAAAAAAGAGAGCTCAGGTGCACGAGCTACCATCCGTTGGATCAGAGAGACGTGATTGAACCTCAACCACAAGATGTGCAACACCCTCCTCACGGCCCTCTCAAACTGCACCAGCCGGGAATCGAACCCGGGTCTGTACCGTGGCAGGGTACTATTCTACCACTAGACCATGGTGCTGTTGCTGGCGAACTCCTCTTCGGTATTATGTTTTACCGATTTTAAAGTACTAACTACACCACTTTGCTTTTGGGGCATAAATATTAACAACAACAATTGAATGCGAAAAAAGGATCTTCGTCTGCTGACCAATTTTTTTTCCCAAGAAAAAACAAGATCTTCTTAAATGGATCCTAATATGATGAAGGAATTTCCGCTCCCTCTGCTCACTGTTATTATGTGCTTAGAAAATATCAATTTAGAACCTCTTCTCTTCCTTTCCATTCCTTTTCATTCTCTTCTTTTTTTTAAGCATTGAATAACAGATTTAACAGTTAAAATTTAATTTTATAAAACGATCTATAAAAAAAAATTAAAAAAAAATATTTAGTGTATTTGCAAATTATTAGAATTAAATTTTAATAGAGTTTGGATTATTTTTATAATTTAATATTTTAATAATAATTTTAAAAAGATTTTAAATCTCAAACTATTAAAATATTAATCTAATACTTACTTTTGAAAAAGAAAAGGAGGGGAAGAAGATGAAAAAAGAAGAGGAGATTAAAATTTAATATTAGAGAATCAAACCGCAAAAATCTAGTTAGTGTGTCCGCGCATTCACTGAAAAAGATCATTTAAAATTTCATGAATCTCAAGGATTCGATTTATTGCCCTGATTGAACTTATCTAAGCTCAGATATGATTTGAGTTTGACAGAAAAAATTGGGTTTTCTAGTGTTATTTTAAAGAATTTGATTCTCTCTATGAATTTCAGTTGATCCTCTGGTATAATAGTCATAAACTCTTTTTTTCCCCGTGAACAACCAAGACTGAGGATTTTCGAATTTCGGGAACATAAATTACCTAACTTACTCAGGGAAACAGTCACCAAGCAACTATCCTCCAACTATAAAACTTAAAAAATGGCGACTTTATTCTTTCTTCTTCCTTCCTTCCTTTTTTCCCGTTAAATTTCTAAATTCTAATATTCTGTCATTTATACAATAATTTACAATTTCTCAAGGATTGTTGGTATAAACTGGTCCACCCAACGGGAATCCCGGTGACAACCCCCCGCGGATTGTACTGATCGCCTAACGGCACTCTCATTTGAAACCCACAAGAGCTTTTGTCCGGCAACGCCGTTCCCCTCGCCGGCACCGGAATCGAAGGCTCATACTTGGGAGACGTCGCCAATTTCACTCTTACCGAGAAATTAATGATCCCATTCCTCCGGCCTTCCCAGTCCCTCAACCGATAGCTCAGGAACTGCAAGCAAGAGTCCGGCACAATCCCTCCGAGAAAATCCGACAGAGCAATCCTGGCTATTCCGACACTCTTGGTTCCCATGGACGTCTTGCATTTCACGTCAAACGTGACGGACCTCGCGTGGGGAGCATTTCGACCATCAACGTCTCGTTCCACGATGGATTTCCCCTGACACCGTCCGCCGCACCCGGCGATGTCGTGGAGCAGGTGAGGGTCTCCGCCCGGACTTCGACGAAGACGTTCTTCGTGACGGGCTTTCGGTCGATGGTGAGGCCCTCGGCCGATAGAACCTTAACCTCCAGAGTTCGTGATCCTGCAGAGCCCGTCATTTTAAGCGGAAACAAGGAGGTGCTGGAGTTAACTTGGGAGTTAAAATGCTGTGATTCAAGTAGCTGGGCCTGATGGAGTTGATGATTTAGATTTTGTGGTGACGAGGCGGAGAAATTTGAAAAAGGGAGTCGTATGAGAAAGATGCAGAGAAGGGGTAGGCATTTATAAAGAACCGAGAAGGAGAGATGAGCAATTGGATGATGTTGATGAGTTGATCACGTGAGACTCGGTCCTTGATGTGGGTCCACTCCCCTGGGTTTTTGTTTTTGGTGATAAGGGGGTTGACAAGGTCCAAAGATTACGGGGAAGGCGCGTGCCGACGCCTGACTTTGCGGCCGCGGATCCGCGGGGGAGAATATCGGCGCGTTTTGCATTTTGCGAGGAAGGTGGTGAGAGGCGGTGTCCCCGTTCCTATCCCTGGTCCCCAGTGATGTTCAGGGCATTCGATTTTGGGGACCCGCGCTGTCGCTTCTCATGATCCCCGTGGGCGGGATTTTTTAAGTGCACCGTGTCACGCGCCAACCGTTCCACCTGTTGGTCAACTTAAAAAACTGATTGCGTTTTACCCGCATCCTCAATTACTCTTTCCTACGACTTGTCCTGGTAGGTACTTGTTCGTAGCTCAAGTTTGGAGGATAGAGCATTTTAATCCATCTTAACAATACTTTTTTTTTTGGACTCAACCATCTTAACAATACATTAATATAATATATTTCCTTTTTTCATAATGTAACCCTCAGATTTAATCACTTCACATAAATAAAAAATATATATTAATAATTAAAAGGTCGTTGTGATGTTAAATAAGTAAAGAATTTTGTATAGAGCTTTTAAATACGAGTATGTTCTTAACAAGATTATACTGTACCAAATTAACTACTTATAAGATTTTAATTGTATTCAGCCAAATTAACCGAAAAGACTTACGCTGTTTAATTACTTCTTTGATTCATAAAATTAATTACTAGTATTTTGTATAGTTAAAATGTTGTGTTTTATTTGCACTGAAGCTGTATTGAAGTTGTTTTTTTGGGGGGGGGGGGTGGGGGGTTGGTTTCCCATCGTTTTGAGATAAACGTTTGCGCCGTTTGAATCGTGAAACTTGCCAAACCTGCTGTTTCCGTGCTCGTGAGTTGCCCCCATCTTCTCCACTTTCGGACTTCCTGTCGAGCATTTCTTTGATACTATTCTATTGACACTGTCATTTTATCACATAAGTACTCTCACCACTGCCGCTATTTCTTTGACTACTATTCTATTGACACTGTCATTTTTAATTCTCGTATGAATATGAGGTCGAATAAAAAAATTATGAAAATCATTTGTGAATATAAAAATAAAATTTTTTAAACAAGAGTAAAATTTAAAAGTCTTGTCAATTTAACATCTACAACTCCTATGAAGATTATCTTAAAAAATAAATATGAAAAATAAAATGGATGAAAATTAAATTAAAAGCCATTAACGTTTACATTGAAAACCGGAGATAGTATTTAAAGAAGCAATTGTCGGCTTTGGGAGGGATCTATCCTTTCCCTTAAATATCTTAGAAGTGGTAAAACTCGAAAGAGTCTCGTTACAGACAGCTCATGGAAAATAAATATATTTATAATGAAATCATTTGTCTTTTTTAAAGTAATTGCGCCGTTGGAATCGTGAACCTTGCCAAACCTGTTGTTTTCAGGCTCGTGGGTTGCCCCCGTCTTTTCACTTTTGGACTTCCTCCCCAATTAATTCCCACCTCTATGACGTAAGACTCTTCATCACTGCTACTTTTTCTTTTACCACCATTTTATTGATACCGTCATTTTAATTCTCATCCGAAACGAGGGCGAATAAACAGAATATAAGAATCATTTGATTTGTAAATATAAAAGTAAAAGAAAATTTAAAAATTTTGCCAATTTAATATATTTATTGATTATGAGGAACATGTTAGGAGTGAAAATCAGAGTAGGATTCCCTTTGCGGAGTAAAAAATTTCAACTCACGAGCATGAAAAACAACAGGTTTGGCAAGTTTCACGATTCAAACGGCGCAAACGTAACAGCTAGCAAGCCAAGTAAACATTTCAATGGGATTATACGTTGTGTTGCGGTGGGAATGGGGGGATGATGATGACGGCGGAGAAATTAAAGGAAAAATATTTAAACTCATCGCCCACATTGTTCTGGCATCAGCTGGAGATTGACACAATGACAAGTGGATATTACTATTATTAAACCGACATCCACAGGCTTTATTGAGGTGGACACGGGATTAAAGTCAGACCAGCCGTCATTTGAGCATGTTCGTTTGCTCGTTTCGTCAATGCATATCCATCCACCTCCGCTTTTTCCTTTTTCTATTTTTCATCTTATTCATATTTTTCTTAATTTAAATGATTTTTTTCACTAACTCCATTGCAACTTGCAAATGGGGACTGATGTACTATTATTATTATTATTATTATTATTATTATTATTATTATTATTATTATTACTACTACTACTACTGCTGCTACTTTTGGAATGAGTTTTAGCTTATTATTTTGATGAGCATTTTAAACTTATCATATCTAAATTATCCATATCTCATTTGGATAATTCATATTTGATTTTTTTTATTTATTCAAAATAATTATTTTAATATGTATATAACCTAATATATGGATAATTTCTTAACTATTATTCTTTCAAAAAAAAAATTTATTTAAAAATAATTAATTAAAGATTTTAAATATGAACTATCATAATAAGTTATAGCAATCTAGATCTTATGAGTTTAACATACTCATCAAAGTGATGAGTACCGAAACTGGTTTCTTTCCGCTTCTGCTTCTACGAGTAGCCGAGAGGTTTATTGGGTTTGGTTGAAATTATGCTAATTCTTATATTAAAAACAAGTACAATGAATTTAGTTTTCCCTAAAATTACACAAATCTTTTTTATAAAACTCTCAAACTAAAAAATAAATAAAAAAGGCACGAACTCTTTTGTTTCTCTTATTCGTTTTCAAACTATAAACAAAATCGTTCGACAAATAAATAAGTTTATATAATACAAGGAACTTCAATAAAAATATGTGTGCATGATTTAGTGTCCTCGTTCAGAATTGGATTGGTATGAATTTTCAAAATATAGTTAATTAAATTCCACCAATTCAGATTGGCGTGAGCGACTGATTGAGGTTCTTGGGTATTATTTAAAGAAGTAACTGCCGGCTTCGGGAGGCATCTATGCCTTCCCTTTAACGTCTTGGAAGAGGTAAACCTCAAATAGTCTCCTTACGTACAGTTCATAGAAAAATATGTTTACAACGAAATTCTATAATGTCTTTTCACAGATATTCTTATTAATTGTAAAGTATTTTCATTCAAGTGTAGCATCAATATAAATGATTGAATAAGGGTAATTTAAGAAAGTCAATACATATTTGTTACAAATAACTTACTTAATTAGCACATATTTGTTAAAAATAACTAATTTAACTAATTTTTTTAATCTCCACAAATTACTTATACTATTTTTATATTGAGAATCAGAAGCGGTATACTCTAGTAAAACCCAGTAAATTTTATGTCATTTATCTTTTTTAAGAAAAGCAGGCATAGTAAGTTGAAAAAACAAAAAAATAATTACAAAGAATGCATAATCAGATTTCAAACGTGTAAGGGTGCCATGCGATGATATAGGCGAAAATCAGGCAGGCGGTGACGAGAAAAGAGTAGCTTTTGAGTTGGATGATAGGAACACAGATAGAGACCATTTGCCTTCCCCGTTCTCCCCACCTAGTCCTCAGTTGCTCCTAAATCCAACACTTTTAATTCATAGTTATTAATTTATTTTTGAATGGGACCCGCCCCTTCTCGGAGGGAAGTAATCCTGCGAGCTTACTCCACACAAGCCCCATCCTTCTTAAAATGATAAATACAGTCTTTAAACACATTTCAAATTATTATTTATATGAAAATATTCTGTCCTAGAAACACAACAAGTTAACAGAGGAAGAAGGGTAATGCCTAGCTGATAGCTTACCGGCATAGAATGATGAAAAAATACATGATCCCAGGTTTAATCTAGTTTTGAATCACAGTTATAAACACGTTTTATGTTTTATGTAAGTTGAAGCAAAACTCATATAACATATTTATCTCGTATGTCATGCATTATGATTAAAAAGTAGCGTATAAGTTATTATAAACAGGTTTTAGGATAATTAATTAGTAGCTTCTCTTTGAAAAAAATGAAAAGAGAGGATAATAAATTAATTCCTAGAGGACACAGAACATGGGAGGCACGTGGAGAAGGAAGCAGGCTGCCGGCTGCCGACTGCCGACTGCCGACTGCCGGCATCATGACTCTTACAGAAGCTGTTAATTTTCGGCACAGGCCCTCCCCATTTATTTTTCACCCATTTTCTTCCACTTCTCTAATCCTGACCCTTCATGTGATCTGTGGCCCAAAAAATGTAAATGTATATGACATTTTAATACCTTCACGTCAATTGTTCACCTTCAGATTCACAATGTTTTTTTTCCCTAAGGTTCTGACCGTGAGGTCTTATAAGAACAATATAATTTTTTAAAGTGTGGGAGAACATATAATCTATCACTTTCTGAAAATATTGCATTAACCCACTCTCTCTTTTTTTCCTGAATAAAACGCCAAAGCCATAAAAAAATTATGGCCAGCTGTTATTCCTCGATTCAAATCAAATTTTTATTCAAAAAACCGTAAAAATTTTTATTTTAAAAAAATTATCATTATTCTAAACTTAAGAAACAAAACAACAATTTTATACTGCCTTCTTTTAACTAAATTTTTTTTACTATCTTAATTGAATGGCGTGCAATCTTTTAAAAAGTTTCATCGCTTTTGTTTAATCTTTTTATTATTCTGATTTTTTCCTAAATAAAATATAAAACTTTTTTTTTTGCATTTTTCTGTCTCTTTTAGCAAGAATTTTCCTTTATAAAGCTAGAGAGAGAATACGAGAAGGAAAAAAGGTAAGAAAAACCAAAAAAAAATAGAGACTAGGGTGAGGGCGTGGAAAGAAAACGGAAGAGAGATAGAGAGAGTTTTTAGAGTGTGTGATGTGAAGGTATTAAATGGCATGTGCTTTTGCGTTTTCTCAGCCGCAGATTAAATGAGGGGTCAGGATCAAGGAAAGAAAATATACTCCTCCGCTACTTAATATAAAATTCATTTAACTAATTTAATTAGATTAAAAAAATTAAGTAAATTAGTTAATTATAATAAAAGTGACAAATTTTTTCTAAAACACCATAATCATTTTTCTTAATACCTCCTCTTCTTCTTCTACTTAATTATGGTTGAGGGAGTATCTATGAGGGTAATTTAGAGAAAATTGATAAATATGAGAAATAAATATTATATTTAGAACCAAAATCAACTTAAAAATTAAGTCCTATATTAAGAACCGGAAGAGTAGATGAAAAAGAAATGGAGAGGCTCCGCGTCGGTTAATTTCAGCTTCTACTATCGTACGTTATACATGCATGCATCTTCCCAGAAATTCTGTACTAAACTGCTGTTGTAGCATTTAATTTTCTTATCCAACCCTACAAAGAGCACAAGACAGACTTCTACGGGTCAACCTATACAATAATGGATGAAGATGTTAAAGTTGATTGTGCTGTGCTGGTTCCACGTCATAGTACTCGTTGCGCTACCTAACTTACGTCAAGTTTTAACAGGGGATAACTGAAAATTGTGTCAAAATACTAGCAACTACTGCCATATTCAAAGGCTTAATTAATTTGCATGAAATATAGTAAGTAGCCAGGAAAATGATAAGATACAGTGTGTGTCTATTGCACTATAAAATGGGTCTCGTGTTTAAAACCAGAGGAGTATGTAAGAGCTGATCCATTGTAATTAGAAACTTGTTATATATATATAATCTGTAACAATATATACAGTTGGATAAAATTGAAGTAATATGATTAATTTTTTCAGATGTTATGCGTAATGCACATAATAATTCACATCCAACTAGATCGAAGCCAGCACGACGGTCAAAACGTATTTTATACACAGTCCCTTAAAACTAAGTATATTATGACTATATGACTATTTAGGCTCATTTCGCCGTCATATGTGTATATATGATGAGTCGGCCGGCCTCAAACGAATTTAAGGCTGCGCTACTCTAATTTTCACTGGCTCATGATATCGGTTAAGCTCCTTCGTGCACCTTTTCTTTTTCAGTACAAATCAATCAATATGTACTTCCTGTATATAGTGACATGCATGCGAATGTGTCACGTACGCTCCAAAGCTGATGTTAGCAAGGGTGCCACGTTATAGATGGAGCGTCACAGAACTGATGTCAGTTTATAATTAATCACTATGTAAGTAGTACGTTATGGAGTTGTTAAGGGGCGCGCGATAACCACGTTAGCAATTTAGAAGCAACCACGTACTTGCTCTTGATGAGAGGCTGGATAGTAGGTGGGAGGATGACATCAAACTATTCATTCATTTAAAATTGACCAACCAACACACGTACGCTGACCACGTCAAACGCTCAATGCGGGGGGCGCGGGTTATGAACTTCTTGGCTACTTCTCAGGATTTCTGAACAAGGGCGTTATTAGCGTTCAGGCTCAAAACAATTCCTGAAATTTCTGAGGTCTTGCACTCACCAAACGGCATCGTTTTCACTGTGAAGAAAAGCCAACGAAATGCCCGCCTGTTGATTTGAACGAACCAAATGATACCCCGTGCACCGTTGCCTTTTATTTTCCTTGGCCCAGGCTACACTGTTACTTGTAAACATGTAGGACAAAATAATTCGCCAGTTTGTTGAAGTCCAAATATAAAAAATGGAACACGGTGCGTGAGGAAAAGGCAGAAAAAGAGAGCTCAGGTGCACGAGATTTCATCCGTTAGATCAGATGGTCGTGATTGAACTTCAACCACAGGATGTGCAAGAACTCATCACAGCCCCCAGGATGCACCAGCCGGGAATCGAACCCGGGTCTGTACCGTGGCAGGGTACTATTCTACCACTAGACCACTGGTGCTTTTATGAGATCTCGTTCGATACCTAAATTTCAATAGGCTTAACTGTTGAGATATATATATATATATATCTCACGCTTTCTCCCTTATCTTTTCAATTTTTTTTTTTAATCTATACTATCTCAAATAGAATTCTAACCATTTTGATGTTCAACAACTTTTTTCAGAAGAAGCAATTATTATATTTATTGTTAATAAAATCTGTATGAGCAACACATGCAATTGGGAAAAATAATGTTTCAATATAGGCTAATATTTCGATTAAATTATTAAAAAACAAGATCTTGCCGGCCTCAACAAGGCCCTGTCACCTGCGTCAACTGAAACAAAATTTATATTCACAATAGAATAGTGAACAGAAAAGTGACATGAAAATTGAGAAATTAAATCACGGGGCATTAGGCCCTCTGTAATTTTGCTTTGCGCCCCAAAATATCTTGACCCGAGCTTGGCGCGCGGGTGGTGGCTCTTCGAGCGTCCTTAGACCTTTGCTGCTTATGTTACCTTTTAACTTTATTATTTTCATTTTATTTCTTTATATCATGTTTTTTTATTATTTAGCTTCCATCATTATCACCATCTTACTGGCTTATTGCAAAAGTGATGTGCAATTAGGCCTCTTCATGCCGACAATTCGCAAAAAGATAATTAACTCTAAACCTGCTTTAATTTTCATTTATATTTAATTTGCTCTTTTTCTTTTTTCTTTTTGGCCGAACAATTGGCATTGCTTTTTCCAAATAAAACTTTCTTTTCCTTTCGAAAAGATTGGACAAATTTTCCAGTTTGACGGAGTCCTCTGTATTAATTAAGTCGCTATCATTTTACTCTTCTGGTCCTATTTATAAAACGATGAGTGAGTGAGTCTGATAATAATTGATGTGTTGGACGCAGTTAATACTTTGACAAAAAATATTAATGCATTCCTATCACCAAAATGCCATGAAGTATGTTGGCTTAAAAAAAAGGAACAGTAAATCCATGATGATTTATGTATTCTTTTTTGGGAAAACCATATTGGAGGTACCTATACTTTCTCTCAATTTTCAATTTGGTACCTATGTGTTTTTTGTTCTTAAATAAATCTTTAATTTTACTCTATTAACATCATTAATCCTTATGTAGCGACTAAAAATATCAATAGAACAAAGTTATAAGAGCTAATGTTGCTAAAAGATAAAATTAAATGTTTAATTAAAGAGAAAAAACACATAGGTACCAAATTAAAAATTGAGAGAAAGTATAGGTAACTCCAATATGGTTTTCCCTTCTTTTTTTGCCAGAATGATTAAGTTCAACATATGAAAGGAGTCTCACCCTACTTAATATAATTCACTCATGTTGTACGTTTGGTAATCATCCATACACGTTAATTTACCAGATCAACATGTTTTCTCTTATACTCCTCTGATTTTCTGATTCTATTTATAAGGTAGAGAGAGAAAATATTTTTTAGTCCTATTTATAATACATTGAGAGAAGTTTTTTGTATGCGTGTATAATTTCACCGTTCATTTATTATTATATTGAATTGATCTACATAAATTATAATGTATATTAAATAGGAATAAAATTAAAAAGTTATTGAGCTTTAAACGAGAATTAATAGAGTTTGGAGTTTTCTTAGTATGTATGAAATATGCTAGAAGTGACTTATAAACAGAACATAATAGTTTTCAATATAAAATATTCAATCTAAATGAAGAACAGAAATTAAAGGCTTGCTAATCTTCTTGTTTCTTTTCTTTTTTTATCTTTTCACAGTTTGTGGTTCGAGACAAAAACAAGACATTCAAAATTCAAAGCTTTGCTGGGTAATTATTCAACCACACGGGAATTCCACGTACAACCCCAGAGCAATCACTATTGCCCACGGGGACTCCCTTCACGGTACGACAATGTTGTTCTGAAAATTTAACCCTAACTGAAACGTTAATAACCCCATTTTTGCTGCATTTTCTATCCCACAACCTATAGCTCAGAAAATGAACTCGACTTTCCGGCAAGTAATTTCCCATAAAATCTGAAACAGGAATTCTCGCCATCCCAATACTTGTAACACACCCCATTGTACCCTTCTCCCTCACCTCCGCTGTTATGAACCTTGCATGTACTGGTACTTCCATCTCCACCTTCTCATTCCATTTTGGGTGGCTCCCACCTTCCGATTCCATCCCCGTCGTCCATGTCTCGTCCGGCCGGCCCGACTCCGGAGACTGAAGGCAGACGAAGACGTTCTTCTTCACGAGCTTGCGGTTGATTCGGAGGTCTTCTGCAGATAACACTGTGATCTCTAGTTTGTGGGCCATGGTTTCTCTGGGAATCTGGAAAGGAGGTTGCACGTGTGGAGGTTTTGGAGATGCGAGGAGGAGAGGGAGAGAATTGGTTTTGTTTTATACGTGCTCGGCATGGAAGGTTGTGGGAAGGGAGAGAGAAAGAGAGAGGTGGTTTCTGTTCAGCAGTTCAGGGTGGCGGGAAACTTCCTGGGAAATGGAGAACCGCTAACTAACGACGTGTCACGGAGAGGGGAGTTTGCCGAACGTAACGGCGACGTTTTAGTGGGGATTCAAACGGTGACCGTTGGGCTTGACGGTGGAAGTTCCGTGGAAATTTCGTTCCTGAGAGAGAGGAATTTTCAAATCTGAGCTGGGAATTGGTGTTCATTTTCGCAGCTGCCGAATTCCCCAGGACCTACTAAGAATGGAAATTGTGCCCGTTGTTTAGTCATTGGCGGTGGATGCTTTTTAAGAATGCAATTACAGTGCAAATTTTATTTAGATGGGTCCAAATTGTTTTCAACCATTTAAATTTTTTTTATTTTAAATTACATATATTTAAAAAATTGCATTTTCTATTATAATGACATCAAAATTTGATAAAATGAATAATTATTAAATTTGAGCCGTCTATGTTATTAAACTAAATTATACAAATATTTTTACCGAGCAATTAGTAGACACGTACTGTATTGCATCTAGATTATTCAAAATCTCGTGGAATTAATTAGGACGCGTCAAACCAAGTCAACACCCCTGTTCTGGGGACTACTAGAAGTGCGATTTAAAAGAGAGAAGGGTAATCCTGCCACTTTAACTAAAAGAAAAGGAGAAAAAGATAGTCTTAATTATTGCTCGTTTCCCTGTAATTGTATGAAGTGGAAATTGTGTGATTATACTCTGTTGGTCAGAGAAAAATGTGTATCAGTCAACTTCAAATCGTTTATTTATTATTATGACAAAAGTGAAAAACCAGATTAGTTTTTGCTACCGTCTACCTGTAAAACACAACTAGTTTAATTTTAAAGAAGTACTTTAGTTTTTAGGGATAATGTCAAAAAATAAACCGACTAATTACTTAACTCCAAACAAGCACCTGCCTAATTAAGCATGTTTGGTAACATACAGAAAGATACATGATGTAACGCATTACAGATGCCGGGGGTAAATAATAATTTCACATACCATCTTTCTCAATAAATAATACTCCTTCGGTCCTTAGGACCTAATTGTTAGGTTAATTCTGGTTCTAAATATAATACTTATTTCTTATATTTATTAATTTTTTTTAAATTATCCTTATGAATACTCCCTCCACTATAATCAAGTAAGTGAGAAAAGAAGGATATTAAAAAAAGATAATTATGGTGTTTTAAAAAAACATGTTATGTTTCTTATAATTAACTAACTTATCTAACTTTTTTAATCTAATCAAATTAGTTAAATACGTTTTATATTAAGGACCGGAGGAATAGTGTGCATATTATTCATTAAGCTGAATATTTCTGCCAAATTATATTGTATTATTCCCCTATATTCCTTCTAAATTTCTTAATAATTGAATTTATTATGCAATAATATATCAAAACAAACCAGTCATAACATGCATGCCATGCAATTTTTCTCTTAAAACAAAGAATCCCTTAAATTCCTCTTTCAATACAATTTGGTGCTCGCGTGGAGAGGAATTTTCAAACCTGAGTTGGGAATTGGTGTTCATTTTCATGGCTTGCCAAAAATTCCAAAGGAAAATTCAGCACCTAACATAAGTAAAGCCGAGTCCCAATTCAGTGTATATTATTTGGAATGTTGTTAACTAATGCCATTTACATCTCGTCCGGATAACCAAATTAAATTCGATTTTATTTTTTGGTGGTTTTTTCATTTAAATCGTTAGCGTTTTAAAACATGAATAATACTTCACACCTCGGTTCATTTAATTAAGATGACAAATAATATTTAAATTAAGATGTAATAAAAAAATCCAAGCCATTTAAATTATATCTAAAAAAGTCAAGATAAAATATGTGGCATGTTTCATGTCCGCATCCGACCTTGATTATTTAAAATCATGTGGAATACAAGATCTGCTTTAAACCAGGTCAACTTACTTTACAAAACTCCACAGATGGGAAGAAAAATTGGAGTTTTGGCTCTAGCGCTGCCTGGAATATTATTATTCGAATAATATCATTTAAAAGTGCCTCAATCAAAGACCTCTGGTTTCCAAAAACTTTCACTTTTAATTTGGAAGGGGACTGGTAAAAGTCAAAGGAAGGCCTCCACTATGTATTGAAATTTGCTTGACCAGGCAGGGGAAATGAGAAAAACAAAGTTGAGAGCAACCCCTTTTTCCTTCATATTCCTATTGTTTACAGCTATATATAACGGGCAAAAGAATTAGTCTATTCACATTTATATCTTCCCCCATTTTTCTTATATTTGACCCTATATTAGAACAACTATTAAGAATAAACCAAATGTTCATGCTAAGGTATAATTCAGAGCTCCTCCCCCACCACCTCTCACGGCATTTAGAAACTAGAAGAATAGTATCGACGTTTGACTTTTATTTTCATCTTAAATATAAGACCCCAATTTACTTTATCTTTATTACTTATTAATTTTTTTCAAGATAGTCCTTCTAATAATGATAATTTTAACCAATAAATTTAATTAACAATGATATTTTAAGAAAGATAGTACTTATTTATTATAAATAACTAATTTAACTTATTTTTCTGACCAACTCAAATTAGTTAATTAGTTTTTATATTCAGGACTTGAGGTAACATTTCAAAAGACTCGATCATTAGCCTGATTAACTTCTTGATTCACTGACTTGGTCTAAATATTGAATAGTCTAAATTTGAATTATCTCTTGATTATGCTCCTTAAAATATGCCTATTCCTAATTTCCCTTAATCATCTGTGATGATGATAATACGTAAGACCCAGTATCACACGTGTTGAAAGTCTAACCCCTCGTTCACTTAACGAGCTGTGGCCACTAATATTTCACTGGGCCGAATTCCGCAGTGTATCAATGGATAGAGGCACTTAGGGCCCGTTAATAAATTTAGTGCGATGCGTTTGGTCAGTCGAAGAAATCTCTTTTTGTCTCCGTAAAACATGGGGCCTTAGCCCAGCAGTCGAAGAACTATCTTTAATGACAACAACACTAGGTATCAGTGTAAGTCTCTGGCCCAAAGAAAAAGAAAAGGTTTAAGCCTTAAGCTGCTCCTCTGCAGAGACAGTGTATTTTCCCCCTCGTTCTTATTTACGAGTCTCATAATCATATATCATATTTTTAACATGAATGAACTAATGTTTATTATTATTGTTGGATTGTTATTTTCTTAGAAACTTGATATATTAAATTAAAGTAAAATTGAAAAGTTGTTAAATTTTAAAATAAAATTAACGAGATTTAAGATTTTTTTTATTCTGGTAAAATATGTAAAAAATCACTTGAATTAGAAAAGTAATAATTTTTTTCCCCCCAATTTAGGGGAGCATCCTTGGACCTGGTCTTGGTGTTTTCTCATCAGTAGTACCTAGCTTGGTCGAACTACCCTCAAGGTTCATCCCACCAGCGGTTCTGGGTAGGAAGTGGCTCAGCTTTAAGATTGTAATCACAGGGAAAGTATAAACTGAATTTTGATGTGTAGCCAGGGGGTTTTAGGCAACTCTTGACTGGGTAAACCTTCCATGTTAGCTCAATGAACAGCTTTTAACATGCACCTTAATCCCAAACCTCATTAAAACTAAACAATCCCCTCTCTCCTACCTCCCTACCTGTGTTCCTGCAGAAGCAACCGGGAACCACTAATATAACTAAAGAATAACGCAGTGACTTGGAAATGTGACGCGATTCAAATTAATATCATCTCATCTCAGCTACCAAATGTTGCAGAGCAAAAATTAGCCCAAACAATCCCCAAAGAAAGAAGTAAAACACAAATCAACAATAATCTTCATTAGTTTGAATAAAAACTGCAAAGAAAGATGACCTACTGAGTACTGACATACTATCGAAACACACCTGACGGAGCGGACGCTAGAGAAACGTTGGGAGCAAAGCCCGTCTAGGCTCTTGGAAAATGGAAACGACGTCGTTTGTCATCCCCGCTACAAAGCGCTAAAAGCGGTATCTTTTTTTAATACTTTATCCTCTCTTTCAGAAAATTCGTAGCAGCAAAAATGGCTGCTACTTCTCCTGCTTCGCTCTCTCGCTTCTATGTCAGTTCAAGACATTCTCCCCCTCAATTTTTCTTCTTCAACTCCCCTGGAACCGGAAAAGTTAGTTCTCGAACCCATACTGCTCGGTTCAAGTGCTCGGCCGGGCAGACTGGGTTTTTCACGCGAATCGGCCGGTTGATAAAGGAGAAGGCGAAGAGTGATGTAGACAAGATCTTCTCTGGTTTCTCCAAGACCCGAAACAACCTCGCTGTCATTGACGAGCTCCTCCTCTACTGGAACCTGGCTGATACAGACCGAGTCCTCGACGAACTCGAGGAGGTTTCTATTCTTGGTTTTGAAGTGATTCTCAGGGCTTTTATTACTTACCTTGAAAATGATTCCATGTAATGAAGACCATAAGAATGAGTATTGGTTGCTAGCTAGAAGTTTGCTTTGAATAATGAATGCGAAATGCTTTTAAACTTACGAAATTTGAATGAAAATTATTAGAGTACGTAGTGCTATCTGTAAATGATCGCATTTAACTTCAAGTAGCTTCTTTTCTGAACCACTCCTAAGTCCGGGGAGCTAAATTCAAAAGTAGCCCCTTTAGCACTGGTGTCTCTGACAACTGTGAGCAGTGTGATTAGGAAAAATTAATGCTACAACGTGATTTCTATATCCGTGGAGCATTTTTGGAATTTTGGTTGAAAATTGTGAAAGATAAATTCATATATAAATATAAATCGTTGGGAAAAATTCTAATATGGAATTTCTTATTGTTCTTTTCAGGCGCTTTTGGTGTCTGATTTCGGGCCTAAAATCACATTCAAAATAGTGGATAACTTGCG